ATATCACATAGTTAAATGGACTTATTTTTTTCTACTAAGAGTATACAGAACTTGATGTCTGGAACAAAAATAAATAGAGCTGATCTCTTCGCCATTATATCAAAAATAACTCTTCTTCTACTAATTGAAAATGTAGTTTTAAAAAGAATATACTTGGTAATAGTATATAGAATATTTCACTTTTTGGTCACCTGTTCAACTCCTTAACCCCCCCCCCCCAAAGGTTACCGTATATTGTCTGTCAGGTGGCCTATGAGAAATGAGTTGATGGTTCTTTGAAAGGTTGCAGACTTACTCAGGAAGTGCATGTCCAGTACATCAAAGCCAGAGAACTTTTGTTTAGCAGTACCTGTCAGGGTGGACCACATGATCTCTGGCCCTCATAGCCCCTGGCATGGCTATTTTAAGTGTGGTGCCATACTGACTGCCTCAGTTTCTTGTCACCAGCCATGGTTTGAGTTGGAGCATTCTGTGTGGTATCTTACCTCACGCTTCACTGTCATAGTGCTTTGTTGTGAACTCGTGTGTACAGTTGGCTAGTTGTAGTAGTACCTGGAATGTTTAGTTAGTTATTTAGTAGTAATTTAGTTCAGCAGGAGTTAGCCTGTTGTGATGTCCTCACTAGGGTTTAAAAAAAATGGCTCGCCTCTCCCCACAATAGGTCCAGTCCCTCAGAGAACTTTGGAGCTGGTGGAGTCTGTTGTTCCATAGCCAGACTCCGATGTCCCTCTGAGGAGGAAGAGAGATCGTTCTCTTCCCTGTGGTCTTCCAAGGAAAAGGACTCTCAAAACAGACTGAGGCCACTCGAAAGCTTGGAGAGATTCTTCTTTCTCCTCCTGTAACAGAAGTGCAGCCCAGCACCAGAAGTCGTTCAGTATGCAGGATAGAGATGTGTCATTTAACTGCTCTCTGGTACCGAGACAGGAACAAGAGTCACTGTATCATCTATCTGGTACCCTCCATTGGGCATCTGTTGAATCCAGTCCAGATGAGAGCAGTGTCAGCACTTGACTGTTTCCGCTCCACTGGTGTATTAGGCGGTATCAGATTTGCTCTGATTCTCTGTTCCTAACTCTCCTTTAATTCAGGAGCTGCGGTGATTTATTTTGTGTTCTCAGCGCTGCCTGGACTGGTTGCAGAGTATTCACTACTGCCGACACCAGAATGCAGACCTGACTTTGGCTTCCTCAGTACTGACGGGCTTGTTGGAACAGATACTGTCTTTGGTACTGATTGCTATTTTTGATGCAGATCACAGCTGCAGCATCAATGCTCATCTTCACGCAGTTACTTTTTCCTTTTTTCCTTTCCACTATGGAGCACATGCCAGAATGGACTGTGTAGCTTTTACTTCCTTATATCATGATCTTTGCTGATAATTATCAATGGTGTGCTGGCATAGTTCTTGAAACAGGATCATATTCTGCTCTCTTTTATATCAGTGAATGGGATTGATCAAGTGTAACTGAACACATTTTGGTCTAGAAGTTCTTTAACCTGTGATCTTTCAGCTCCCGTTTTTAGTCTTCACAGCAATAGCATAAAATTATTTCCAGTTGAAATTGATATATTTTTAAATTTAAAGAAGGAAGGGAGGGATACTTCAGAGTTTAGAATCAAGATATATCTCAGGGCTGGTCTAACTTAGGTCGACTTACAGCTGTAGTGTATACTACTTCAATTATGTAGATAACATAATGTAGGTTGACTTACAGCCGTGTCTACACCTCCCTGTGTCCATGGGAGATGCTCTCCCGCCGACTTACCGTACTTTTCTCAGGGAGCTGGAGTACAGGAGTCGATGAGAGAGCACTCTGCCATCGACTTAGGGGGTCTTCACCAGACCCGCTAAATCAATACCACTGCATCGATTGCAGCAGTACCGATCTAGCCATAACTATAGACCTAATAATGCTCATGGAAATGCACGAAAATAGTATATACTATTAGTCTTATCTGGAGGCCCTTTTTATTAATGGGAATGGTTTGCTGTTTACAAAACACTGAAGTCAGATTCTTTAAAGTTGCACACAGTGTAAAATGGCATAATTTGGTTTTAGCAGTGTACATAGAGATGGGCCATATGAGTGTTTTTTTTTCTTTCCTTAATGAAGAGCAGAGCCAATGAGTTTCATTTAATGAATGAATTAATTGATGCACCTGGTTTTTTGGTGTATTCTGGCACAGTGATCCCAATTTAAGATCAGAATAAATTGAATTGTATGAGTTAGTATATTGGGATTTTCACAACACAATACTTCCTTATGATACTGTAACAGTCATTATAATAATTCCACCAGACAGTTGCTACAAAATGATAAGTTAAATTGTGTGGTGGTAGGTTTCTGTGATAAAGCCATCTGAAAATTAGGTCATGTTGGGTTCAATTGACTCTCTTATCTCATTCCTGTGACCAGAGAATATGTGATTAGGATCATTAGTCAATTAAAACACCACTGTGCAGTGATTGTGTGAATTATACCTGACATAAGGCTCCCTGAAGCTCGCTTTTACTGTTTCGTAGAGTTTTCTACGTTTCATTGAGCATTGTCAAAGCCTGCATTTTAATGTAATCATCCTCCCATTTCTGCCATTCAGAAAAGGTGTCAGATTTCACGTACAGATTTCTAGTTCTGAATTTTAGTTTCTGAGTGAATGATCAATGTTGGATGTGGATTTTTTCATTCTGTTTTTGATGGAGGGAATTCTCAAACATCAGAATAAGAGCTCTTACCTAGTTTGTAAGTCTAGGTGTCTTCAGGTCATTCTTATGAATCTGTTGCCATGGTAGTCATTACACTAAGTAAAACTATTTCCCCTTGTTTATTTCCCCTCCTACTGTTCTTGTAAACTGCTGGAAATGGTCCAGCTTGATCATCACTACAAAAGGTTCCCCCCCCACCCCCCGCTCTCCTGCTGGTAATAGCTCACCTTTCCTGATCACTCTTGTTACAGTCTGTATGGTAACACCCATTGTTTCATGTTCTCTGTGTATATAAAATCTCCCCACTGTATTTTCCACTGTATGCATCCGATGAAGTGAGCTGTAGCTCACAAAAGCTTACGCTCAGATAAATTTGTTGTCTCTAAGGTGCCACAAGTACTCCTTTTCTTTTTACGGATACAGACTAACACGGCTGCTACTCTGACACCGTTCACCTACCTTGTGTCTCGTATCCTGGGACCGGCACAGCTACGGCACCACTGCAAACATCTTTTTTTAATTTGTCTATTTTGCTAGTTAATCTTTAATGTTTATCCATATCCCGTTGTGTATTTTGACATTCTTGCAGGGTAGGTCTGGGTGAAAAGAATGCATTCTGTCGCCCAACAATTTGTGTGTGTGTGTGTGTGTGTGTGTGGTTTTTGTTTTTTTTTTTAAATCAGAGCACATTGCAAAAAGCTGACTACCAAGATAAAGTATTCCCTCTCCATTTAGGTTGCAGTCCACCCCAGCAGTTCAAATCCCTTTTCTAACAGTCAACTTTCTGAGGAAGGATGGTCTTGCAGTTAAGGCACAGGCCTGGACATCCAAGTAAACCTAGTTGAATCTTACAAAACAGTGTTCACAAACATTTGTTTGGATTCCACATGTCTGTTTGGTCCAGACTTCTTTTGTGCTTTTACCCTAGCTATGAATATTCACACAAACAGGTTTCTGTTCTCACTAATGTTTGGGAAATATTTGTACAAATGTGTCTATTCTCATGCAAACAAGCTATACATTATTAACTGTGCATTAGTATCTGTGTTCCTGGTTTAAAAGTTTGTTTCTGCTCTCTGAGTGGATAATAATGCCACATGACATAGAGGACCAGTCATACACTATACATGATGAATAGTTGGAATTAACAGTGGATAATCAATCAATGTTCTGAAATTTGTTCACAAAAACAGTTTAAACGGTCCTGAATAGCAAATTAACTTGTAAGAAGAAAAGTCTGAATTACAACAAAAAAAGCTAAATTAATCAGATTATTTGCAGTGAGCAGTTTAACCAGCTGTAGTGTCACATACAAAATGGGAAATGACTGCGTAGGAAGAATTACTGCGGAAATGGATCTGGGGGTCATAGTGGACCACAAGCTTAATATGAGTCAACAGTGTAACTCTGTTGCAAAAGAAGTGAACATAATTCTGGGATGTATTAGCAGGAGTGTCGTAAGCAAGACACAAGAAGTAATTCTTCCTCTCTACTCCATGCTGATAAGGCCTCAACTGGAGCATTGTGTCCATTCAGGAAGGATGTGGACAAATTGGAGAAAGTCCAGAGAAAATCAACAAAAATTATTAAAGGTCTAGAAAACATGACCTATGAGGGAAGACTGAAAAAATTGGGTTTGTTTAGTCTGGAAAAGAGGAGGGGACAAGGAGGAGGGAAAAGAATAATTGTTCTTAAACTCTAAGGAACGGACAAGAAGCAATGGGCTTAAATTGCAGCAAAGGAGGTGTAGGTTGGAAGTTAGGAAAAATTTCCTGTCAGGGTGGTTACGCACTGGAATAAATTGCCTAGGGAGGTTATGGAATCTCCATCATTGGAGATTTTTAAGAGCAAGTTAGACAAACACCTGTCAGGAATTGTCTAGATAATACTTAGTCCTGCCATGAGTGCAGAGGACTGGAATAGATGACCTCTTGAGGTCCCTTCCTGTCCTATGATTCTATCTTATGTCATCCTAAATAAATTAATGTCTTTGACCCTCTATTTCCACCTCTGTAAAATGGGAATAATGCATTTATTACTTACCTACCTTGGAGAGAGGCTGTGGGCTTAAATGATTCTTGTGGCTGAAGTGCTTGGAAAGGAAGGGCCCTGAAAGGTCAGCTGTTAAATACTCATGATCTACTGGGACAGTTCATCAAGTCCTGACTTGCCTTGATTTTGCTGTGTTCAAGAATTGAGTGAATCAATGCAAGCTGCAAATATTTCAGCTCAATATTCTGTGGCTTAGCTATCTGCTTTAAACATGTTGTGTGATCTATTTTTTTCTTTCTTTCAGAACTATGGTTTAGAGACAGAAAATCTGAGAACACTCTCTCACAAGCTGAATGCCTCAGCCAAAAATCTTCAGAACTTTATAACGGGTAGAAGGAGGAGTGGCCATTATGACGGCAGGGCCTCCAGACGACTGCCAAATGATTTTCTTACCTCTGTTGTTGACCTGATTGGTGCTGCCAAGAACTTGCTAGCCTGGCTGGACAGGTAATTTAGAGCTTTTTAATTCTTACTCCCTCCCCCCCCCCCCCAAGTAATTCTTTTGCCCTGTTTGTTTCTTTTTCTCTTGTTCTTTTCTCTTTCTCTTGTTCTAATATTAGAACTGTAATTATAGGTTTTACTTTGTAAATGTTGTTATATACTTGAGTTCCAGGCTGACTAGGCCTGGGTCAGGAGCCAGCTGTGGGATTTTTGGAGTCTCTTTTGGGTCACCCCAGGTTGACGGTGACCTCTGTGAAATTAGCAGTTTCAGTCTTGTTCCTAGTGAATGTCACTAGTGAATGTTCCTCGTGAATGACAAAAATTGCCACCACAGATGGCAGGATCATTTCTATTTCAGAAGGGAGTATAAGGGATAAATTAACATTGAAACTGAGTTTCCTTATAACCAGAGCAAAGAGTGGTTCTGACCATTCAGGGCTGATGCAAATTAAGAGGAGTATAGGGAAATTTGACTTGCTGTTATCCTGCTGCATACTTGTTATTGGATAATTTCTAAAAGAAATTATACCACTTGCTTATCCCTGGAAACTCAGAGCTTACTAGTTGACTTTTTGTTAACAGTAGGGGGCAGGTTCATACATTAGTCACTCTTGTCACATTAATTACTGCTTGGTGAGAGAATGCTATGATTCCTCATTGATGAATTAGGAATCAGTTTACAAAGTAACTCTCTGCATGAACTGTGTTTTAAAATATTATGTATGAAATACTATATTTTATGCACACACTGCATTTCTCTCTAGAAGTGAATAGCTTAATTGAAATCTGAAACTATTGTGCATATAAATGAATGACATGACCATTCTTCACAAAGCTTGTTGTGACCCTGATGACCTTCTCTGACCTAATGCTAGCAATCAGGATCTCCTGGGATGTAATCTCATCAGTCCTTATAAGCCAAATGGGTCAGATCCGGACAGTACTTGGAGATTCCAAGGAAAACCCAGGTCCCGCAGGAGTTGAGTTAGTGGCTCAGTAAATGGCACTCATCCCTCTTAGTTAATACTGAACTAAGGCTATAGTTTGCTCTTAAGGAGCAGTGTGCTGCTTGATGTGCTATCTTTTGGATAAGCCATAAAACTGAGGACTTGACTGCTGTACTTATTATATCTGCTCAGTGCTGAGGCATATCAAACATCTAAGGTACTAGAAGCATGCCAGGTACATCCTGTAGTCACACACTGTTCTACATGGGGTTCCTCAGTTTCTGCACAGCCTGCACTGTACATAAATCCGGAGTGTGTCACTCTGTATCTGATCCCCAAAGTGCCTAGTTCTTCATGGTTCGTGGTCTTTTTGTGGAGTTTCTTCCCCCTTCTCTTACCTGGCCAGGAGGAAGGGGATTTGCACTGGAAAGGTGGATGGTTGAAATCCTAGTCTCCTGTTTAGTAGATATATTACTCTACTTGTGCTCATTTGAGAGATCGTGTTGCACTTTCTCCAAAAATAGGGATGTTAACTCTGGTGTCCTGCCCAAAATCCAACTTCAAATAATTTATGTTCTAACTACCTATAGTTATTTCAAATGCATACATTATTCACTTCCCCTCCTAAAAGTTGTTGTTCAGTGTTGCTGGTGCAGAATGGCATGATTATTGTGAGGTGATTGGCATTTCCATGATAAATGAGTTTACCTCTACAACAAATATGTCTTCTAAAGGGCTCTGGGACCCAAAGAAAAGGAAGGGGTATTATAAGCAGCTTCATTTTATATACAATACAAAGAAATTAGCTGACCTGGTTCAGTCTAGTTTAATCAAGTAAAGTTACCAACCCTAACAGTCTGTTTTAAAAGCTGTTTGTCTTGCAAGCAAAAAGCCCAGCTTGAAGTCGCATATTGTCAAATATTTCAAATTGAAATAATCAGAGCAAATACTACAATGACCTGATATTACTGTGTTTTTAAATGGATGTCAAGAATGCCCAGGGCTTTGCATGGGCAGTTTTAGGTGTGACATTTCCTTTAGATGAAATTTTTAAAAAAATAAATACTGCTACTAATTTTCAGTTGCTGTGTGACTATAAGATCATTGTCATTTTTAGCATCATACCCTCTTTGGTGTAACATCCATTCCAGTAGGTGAAGACAGCAATTTCTGAATTTGTTACCATATGTAAAATACACAGGTTGATGATGACAGCACTGACCAATATGGCAGCTATAGTACAAGTTAACTCACAGAGAATAAAAATCTTAATTCTTTTTAATGTGATATAGTGACTGTCTAAATCTGACTGACTCTTGAAGTTTCTGTTGGAATTCATTGTTGTACCATTTCGAATTAACAACATCCCAGCTTCTCAAGTGCATTATTTAGTGTGGTGTTGACTGTAAATATACATTACAAGAGGTACAGCTCAGTAACACAGATTGATGAGGTCTCCTACAAATTTTTTGTCCCTCTCTGGCAGGTCTCCATTTGTCAGTGTGACAGAATACTCACTGCTGAAAAACAATATTGTTCAACTGTGCCTGGAATTAACAACCATTGTGCAACAGGTAAGAACAGGTTTATTGTGTGCCATACCTAAATCACTTCCACATTGCTGAAAAAATTATAAAATATTACAAAAATTGTTAGAAATGTGTCACCTCATCAGGAGAATTTGTGTGCGTTTTGGGGGAAGGTGCGGGTGGAGGGAGGAGGTATGTGTGTGCAACATCTCAGTTGCAACTACAGTAATTATTTACCAGTAATATTGGGAAAGAATTTTTGTATTTTAATTGTTTTCAAGGATATTGATGGGTTTTCTCTCCAAAAAGTAAATACAAATTATTGCGGTATCTCCAGTTGATCCTCAGTTCATCTTCACATTTTCCTCCCCCAACATATTCTATTCCCCTCTTTCCCTGATTTCCAGCATATGATTCCTTGCTGTATGCTTTCTTGTTGCTTACCCAACTGATACATATTAGACTTGAAGTTTTTCATCATAAATCAGATGGCCACTAGACCCCTAATCATTTTGTTGTTGTTCTCTGAAGTCCCAGCAATTAGTCAATATATTTCTAATAAGGTGTCTAGAATGTAACACACACCATTGCATGTTCCCTGCTAAATGTTGTCAAAGATAAGCTAAAAGTGGATGCATAGACAAGAGCTAGACAAATACAGTAGAAGTATATATTTATAAAAGTCATTGTAAATGAAACCTGCCAATTCACTTCATTGATATTCATGACCCTTTCATTTGCAATTTGAAGTATTCCTGTGAGCAAGACAAAATTTCCAAGAATGTTCATAGACAGTGAAAGCATCATGATTACTAATGCAGCATCACCAGAGCAGGCAGAGAGCACAGATAGCAAAGGAGGATGCACATTTTGCCTTGTCCATACCTGATTGGAGAGGGCAAAGCAGCTGCAGAAAATGGTATATAGTTAGAAGATGAGTGTCATACTGGCATATGGACAGCAAGAGATTGTCACTTGGAGCCTAGCAGTTCAAAAGTGTCTAATCTAAATTAAATAAAATCTGTAGAAAAGGTATATTTCTGATGTAAATGTAAAGATTTTAGAAAGGGCTCATGTACTCTTAACCTCTGAGATTTATTTAATAAAATGCACTATTGACTTTCTCTCCTTAAAATTCAAATTGATTAAATAAGCAAGAACAGATTTAAAGAGTTGCACTGCTAAAACCACACAAGGAAGTCATCTGACTGGGTGATACAACAGCTTTTCAGACACACTGATAAATTTTGTTGGTACCTGGTTGACATAACCTAGGATGTCATAGCTAGATACAGAAAAGTAAGTGTGTTTGTATACAAGAAAAGTTCTACAGTCATTCTGGAAGTGATTAATAAAATGTGGAGATCAACAGTCATTATTTAAACTTAGAAAATATGTGGATTGCAATGTTGTGCCTTGTTTCCATGGCAATCATATGCTTGTGATTAAATGCTGTTTCCCCTCTGAAAATAATTGGTATCCTCTTGATATACAAGTGCAGCAGGAACACTGAAGCTCTAGAGCAGTGGTCCCCAAACTTTTAATCGGGAGCAGGGACAGGGCTCTGGGAGGGGGGATGTGTATAGGGGTAAGGGGGCTGGGGCCACAGCTGGTAGTGGGGGCAGAAAAGACCCTCGGCTGGGAACTGAGGCCTGCAGCTGCAGCCAGGTGTGGAGCCCTGGGCATGGGGCCATCAGCCAGGACCTCGGGCACAAGGCTAGCAGCCGTGGCCAAGAGCAGATCCCTGGGCACAAGCCCAGCACCCGGGACTGGGGCAGGAGCAGAGCTGGGTGCTGCTCCCTCTCCACCCACTGTGGGCGTTGGTCTAGGCCCAGCTGCGCCACCCCAAATGTTCCTCCACACCTCCTAGGGGGGCGTGCCCCACAGATTGAAGACCTCTGCTCTAGAGTAAAGTCTGAGTGCATAAGTCTGATTTAGTGCTCATCTCACTCTTCCTTGGTCTCACTAATTCTCTATTAGCACCAAGGAGGAGGGAGATAGTGGAAAATAGCATTGCACAGATCCACAAAATAATCATAGCTGAATATCTTGCTATTGAGATCCCATCGTTGTGTTAATATGTGAAGATGATGCATCAGAAAAACACAATCTTATATAAATATCATAACACACTATTAGGACACAGTGTTGATAATATTTTATGGCTCTCCAGTGACTCAGTAACACTTTATCTTTACAAAGCAGACTGCCATAGCTCTAGAAAAATGAATCCACCAAATTAATCCAAATCTGTTGACCTGGAAGGCATACTGCAAAGCCTATCTATTTTCTTTAATGTTAGTGTGGGACAAGGGTATAACAGCTCATATTCTTAGGGAAGAAAGGGTATTTATGTATTTTTTTCAACGTTCTGGTTAGTTAATTTTCCTTTGGGCTTTGTAGGTCCTACTGGATCCAGTATAGTTTTATTGTTCGTGTACAGCAGTAAGATATCTTAAAGTTGCTTAGAGCCCACAATAGGTGCTTTTCATGTTTGTTTTAATTAAAATAAACAAAGTGCTGTTCAAAATAGTATGTTGTTAAAGCACACTAAGGAACTTTTAGTGTACACCAGGAGGGTCTACACAGAACAATTAACGTGCAGCACGTTAGCGTACTTTAGAAATCTCACTCCCATGGTGATCATTACCCCACCCTGTAGTAAAGCCCCTAGATAAGTTAAGTAGATTGAGCTACTTCAGTAACTGGTGTGTGTGTTCCATGTCATGAACCATTCATTTAGCTCATTGTGGAGTCCTCTCCAAGTTGCAACTTTTACCAAAAAAAAAAAAAGGGGGGGGGGGTGGATACCAAAACTGGACAAGTATTCTTGTTGTGGTCTCACTAATACAGTATACACAGGTAATATCACTTTTGTACACCTACTTAATATACCCCCATTCTAGACATGCAAAAATTGTGTTAACCCTCTTAGCCACAATATCAAAATGGGAGCTTCTGTTCAGTTAATTAACAGTGATCCCTAAGTACTTTTTAGAGTCACTGTTTTCCAGGATACAATCCTCTATACCGTAAAAAAATGCCCCACATTCTTTATTCTTAGATGAGTGACCTTGCCTGTGGCTGTATTAATGCATGCTACTTGATTGTTCCAAGCTTGCAAAGGGTCTAGAGCACGCTATCAGTTGCCTGTCCTTATTATTTATCACACAACCAGTCTTTATGTCATCTGCAAACTTTATCACCATAATTGTACATTTCTTCCAGATTATTGATTTAAAAAATTGATTAGCGTTTGGCTGAGCATCAATCCTTGTGTGCCCTATGAGGAACCTCCCCCCGCCCCCTACCCCCAACACACACACACACACACACTTGCTGAAGAATCCCCATTAACAATCACATTTTGAAATGAAAAACATTTTGTTCTAAGCATGTGTATTTGTAGATTCAGGACTAAATAGAGTTGTTCATCTTATTTGTAACTTGCCTTTTCTCTTTATTTATTTATTTATTTTAAATAAATTCAGTATTTTAATCAATTAGAATGGTGATGGCATGAGGTACTTTGGCAGGGGTATTCTGCATGATGCAAGAGCTGTTTGATACCTTGTTTGAATGTGGACATATAACAGTACTACTATTTTGTAGTTCTCTTTACTTTACCATTTTATAGAACAGAACTAAATAATGGGTATTCTATGATATAAAAGCCCCAAGTTAAAACTCCACCTTTAAGCATGTCTCTAATCCGTTTTTTGACAAGAGATAAATGTGACACTTTAGCTATCATTTATTTCCTAAGTAAAATAAATAGACTGAAACCCTGTGCATGTTAAACCTTGTGGTCAAAAAGAAAATAAGTCACCATAATATTCTAAGTGTAATGCTCTGTGGTCTTAAATGCTTATTTAAACCAGACAGATGTAGAAAAAGCCTTACATTTTAGAAGATATACATATATCCCAATCACTATTAAAAAAAGAACATCTTTAAATTCTAATATAAACTTCAGTATGCAACATAAGCATAGACTTTTTTTTTCTCTAAAATTAATTCATTCTGCTCTACAAAACAGAGAAATTTTCAGGTTTACTATACATACAAGTCCTTTAGTCTTTGACCTGAAATAATTGTTTACTCAGAATGAAGCTTACATTGTATTTCTGACACCTAAATTAAAGGAATAATTTTTATTGGAACATTAGCTCTAAAGTGAAACTCTAAGCCTTGCTCTGATCATTTTGTTGTCTTGGTACTTGAAGGGTTAAAGGGAGGCAGTATTTAATAAAATGGATATTCTGTTTGAAGTATGTTTAAACTGGTAGGAAAAAACTGCCTTAGGCATTGCCAGCCACACTAATTGAATACTTTTTGTACCGTAGAAAAAAAAAAGCCAGTATGAATACAGAAAAAACATCAAAGGGATACTTGACCATGAAGTGCAAATAGAAATTCTTCTATATCCCTAGGTTCTTTGGTTCTCATCTTCCAGTTTTAACCTTTTTTTTTTCTTGTACTGAAACTAATTTTTTCTCAAAACTAATGGGGGGGAGAGGGGAAATAAGGTTGGTATAGCTACATCGCTCAGTGATGTGGATTTTTCACACCCCTGAGTGACATAGCTATACCAAAGTATGTAGTGTAGACCAAGCTTTAGACAGGCTTCCATGGCTGTCCCTACACTTTGCTGGGGTCTGCTGTGGTCCCTGGAGCAGCCCAGAATTGGGCTATCTGTGCTATGGTTTCTTTGCTGTGCCTCGTAGGTCTCAAGAATCTAGATGAGTAAGAGGTTTTAGCTGTTTGTTATTGGAAAAGAGGAAATGTCAGACTAACTCAATAGAAGAATTCAAAATTTGGAAAGGAAGGAAGTTTCTGATGCTAACAGGTGGAATATTATGTTATTATTAGCTAAGTTATGGAATATTATCTAGATATTTGGTCTTGATAAAGAATTTAGAACAAATTATTTTGTGTTAGAGATGGTCAAAAATGTTCATGGAGCAGTCTTCTGTTAGAAAATGAGATTTTTGTGAAAAACAAACTTCCTCTGGAAACACTGATTTTTGTAGGTCCATAATGAC